CAAGGTGCATTCCAAAGTAAACAGGACTTAAAAAAAATAACAGAAAACTCAATTTATTTTATTCAAAATAGTCTCCTTCTGCTTCAATACAGTTTTTTGCACGATACAAAAGCATGTCGAACCGGTGTTTTAGCTCGTTGGCCGCCAGTATGTCGGTGCAAGCCTTTTGTCTGCATAACGCTTTCCTTTCATGGTCAAATGCATTTTTCCGAAAAGGAAGAAGTCGCACGGTGCCATATCAGCTGAGTACGGGGAGTGGTTAATGGCTAAAATGTGATTTTTGGTCAAATAATCGTTCTTCGAATGTTGGATTCTGAGCAATTTTTGCTCGTCAGTCAATTTGTGCGGAACAAATCGTGCACACGCCTTTCGTAAGCCCAAGAGTTCGGTCAAAATGTGATAAATCGATGTTTAGGAGATGTCTAATTCCATTTCCATAAATTTAAATGATGACTTCGACTGATTTTTGATGACTTCACACACGATGATCCGTGATCACGGATTTTGATTGGCCTACATGTTGATCGTCATTTATGTGCTCACAACCACTTCGAAAACGTTGAGCTCACTCGTGCACTCTGCTACGGGATAGGCAATCATCGCCATTAACTTGTTTCATCAATTTAAACGTTTCGGTAAAAGTTTTACCAATTTCAAAACCAAATTTAATGTTGGCTCTTTGTTCGAAGCTCATTTTCGCACCGATAACACAAACATACTGACACTTAAAACGCAATATCTTCACTTCCAATCGATGAAATGTCATGAAATTCCTGTTTACTTTTTAACGCACTTTGTATATTTTTCCATAGTCTCCAATAAAGGTCTGAAATAGAAACCTAAAATGGCATTGGTTAGTATACCCAGGGTACTCGATGACGACATTCATTACAAGTAATTAATTAACCGTTCAGTTTGGTAGTTTCCTGCTAAAATCCTTATCTATATTGCAATTATACTAAATTCTATGAAAGACGGTAAGCAGAATTCCTGTGGAACGCTAGCAACATTGTATATTTTCGCCGTGTTTACTGTTTTCCACTAATATTTCCACTAACAATTTTTTGAAGCCACAAACGTTTATTAATAAATTACCGAAAACACACTGTATTTAC